CCTGCTGACGTGAGCAAATGCAAAGACTATTTTTCCATGCGCGCTTGTTCTTTCTGGTCAAGTAAAATCTGTTAAATAAAAGGGAACTCTTTAGCTACAATGTATCAATGTTATAAAACAAATGGTAAACACCACAGCATACACTATTGAGTTATAGATGCACTTGAGAGGTTTGCTAAGCACTCAAGAAGCTAGAGTCGCTCTCGTCTATTGCCTCGAGCGACTCTTACGCTTCTTTCGTGCTTAGCAACCTCTCACGTACATCCATTACTCAATAGTGTACGCTGTGGTGTTTACCATTTGTTAAAGATCAGTTTTGTGTACTGCCCCTAGAAACAGTAGTAAAGCCTTCTTTTGTTCTCTCACTTCATTCTCAGGAGTTCTAACAGCTCTGCAGCAATTCCAGGTCGTATCTTGACAGGCTCAAGGTCAGTTCTTTGAGGGACAGCTGGAGCTGGAGTAGATTCCCTTGATTTTGTAGTCACTTGGTCTAGAAATACATGATATATATAAGATACAACAAAATCTTAGTAAATTAATTAGTTTAATTACCAGTATGTGCATAACATACAGACATACATACATAATACATACATACGTTAATTGACCACTCCCAATGGGGGCTTTTCAGGCCCAATTCCCACCCAGCAACCACCCCTGGGGAGGACATATAGAAAGGTAGCATATTTTTCTCACTTGTTTTAAGACCTTGAGTGTTGGTCTGGCTGGGACTCGAACCCTCGACCCCCCGCACAACAGTCCAGCGGCCTATCCATTGAGCTAACTTGGAGGCGGTTCATAATAACATATTCTTTTTTCCAATTTGAAATAGGAATATCCCCCTTAACTTTTTTACCCCTAAGGGTCACCACCATTCAATTTCTCCTAACAACAAACAAGAAATAATCATCAATTAAAAGAGCTCTTGATTGTTAAACAAATTCTCCTTGTCAGCACCTTGCAAAATCTCTAGAGAACAGTATGGAGAATATGCATATTGATGTAAAGGTGTAAAAGATTAAAGAGATATGTGATATTACCAAGTTGACATCAGGGCTCTACACCAACTTTTCAACTAACTAGCCAAGTGGCAAGTGACAACTTAAACATTACAACAATTTCAGTTTGTTTACTAGCCAAACTGGTTGCATGGTGGAAATCCAAAACCGCTACTTGCCAAAACTGAATTTCTATTAGCCTGTGGCTAGTTGGTTACTGATAGTGTCCAGCCCCGTTGACATGCTGTTAAATTCTCCGAAGGTATTGTGCAAAAATGTATAACAAACAGACAGAAGAATTTATAGTTTGATCAAAAATCTCCAAACATTTCACTGCAGAATCGTGTGTTGAAGCAGAAGTGGTTGGAACTGCAGAATCCTGTGTTGACGCAGAAGTGGTTGGAACTGCAGGAGCTGGTCTCCTTTTTGTCGATTCCTTCTTTTTTCCATCCTTATCCTTCTTTTTCTCATCCTTATCCTTTTCAGGTGGGCGTGTTGGAGCGGGGCGCCGTGGCTGTATTGGTTGATTAGCCTCAACTTCTAAATTAATTCGATTTCGGTGCTCAAGTAATTTTCTACAAAAAGGGTACAATTGTTTCAATTAGTTCACACTTTTTTCCACAAATTCTGGTTCAGCTAATGTACCTATTTAGTAAGCCGCAAAATATTCATTTTATTGGGTTTCAGCAAAATATTTAGCAACAAACCTTTTAAGGCAGCTAGTACATCAGCTGACCATGTTTGTGGCTGAGAACTCATCCAAAAAATGAATATTTTGCATTCAAAGGCAATTATGATTTCATTTCATATTCCACAACTAATTTTTCACATTACATATTCTGTAGACCATTTTTGAACTTTCTGGATTTGACAAAACAAGTTTGTTGTTCTTCTATTCCAAACAACTTAAAGGTGAAAAAGTGAAAATCTTGAGCTCATTTTTATCCACTAGCTTTGTTCCTCTTTGAAAGGGATAATTGGAGGACACTATCAACGTAACGTTTTTTTTCGTGTAAATTATCAACAAATAACAACACGATTTCTCATAAAATTTGGTGTAAACAAGCACTGTCTTGTAAATTATTCAAAGACTTAATCTCAAGGGTGCAGAGAGACACTGTGCTGGTTGAGTATCTCTTGTCCAAGAGCATAACACCATAACCAAGCAGGTTTTAAACCCAGACCTGTCCACCAAGAGTCCTGTGCACCAACTATTGTACATGCTAGTGACTCCAGGGTTGTAGCTAAGATATTACGCTGCTGGGTGAAATTTCAAGTGAGGAGGGTCAGAATTGGTGAATAATTGTAAGTACCCGTAGTGCTTTAATACCAAGTGATAGTCGGTCAAAAATCCAGCATGTAATTGCTCCTTTTTCATCTGGCGAATTTTGTTAGCAGCCAGTACTTAGCAACAACCCTGTGAATCCCTCTGGACATCTTAAAATACCTAATATTTTCCATTCTCACCTTAAATTAGCTCTTTGCTCATGAGTATAAACACCTCCAAAATTTGCAGCTTGTAAATGGATGGCTTCTATAGCTCTATCTACTGACTCTAATACTGCTTGTGTTTCACCTGGGTCAGTCTTAAGACAGCAGAAAATATAAATGTGCTAATTGTGTGCTCTTCAAGGCCATATCCAGGGGTTTCATTAAGGACCAGGCACCGCCGGCAAATTAACCGGTTGTGAGGACGGTTTTGTCCACCTGATTTGAC